CCTCCTCCTTCCCACCACTCTCTCCCGTCCTTCCCCGTTCCTGCCCTCCCCCTTGAAGCGCATCGCTCTCCCCGACCTTTCCTCCTGGCGTGCGTTCCTTGCTGTTCCCCCCCGCCGTCTCCTCCTCCCCGACCTTCCTATCTAATGTGCTGGCCCGCACACAGTCGAGCATCACTTGCTTGTCTTCTCCCCATGCCTGCCCTCCCCCTGGGAGCACCTCACTCTCCCCGACCTTCCCCCCTGGCGTGCTTTCCTTTCTGTTCCCCCCCCCTCCCCCTTCATCCATCCTTCCCGAAGATGCCACTACCTCCACATCATTCGACCATCCATTGGCCTCATTAATGTCCTCCGGCACTTTCCCTGGACTGATCTCATCCAGCCCCACCTGCCCCTTCTGCTTACATTCCCCCCCAAACTCACTCAGCACCTCCTTGGTTTGCCCTGTCTCCCCCCCCGAACTCCGAAGTGCCTGCCCACCGAGTCTGCCCTGACTGTCTTCCCCCTTCCCCTCCAATATCTCCACCTTACCTGCTTCCTCCTCCGGGGGGAGGGACGGCGACTGGGCCTCATCCGCCCGTCCTCCACTCGTCTCCCCCCGCCACCACTCCCTATCCAGTTCGGGCACGCACGCTTTCCCTTCCCGGCGACACTCCACTTCATTCGCAGTTTCACAGTGCGAAATGTTCACACTTAGACATGCATGGCTTAGTCTTTGAGACAAGCATATGACTACTGGCAGGATCAACCAGGTAGTGGGTGTGACGAGCAGCCGCAAGGAGCGATGGCCGAGGCGCACGTAGGCACGTCACCCCGGACAGCCTACCAAAAGAACGTCGAACAATTGTGGAACGTGCAATGAGCTGCCGGGACTTCGCGAAGTCCGGCTGTTTGAATTGCAGGTGAACTTCCCTCCGTAGGCCATCTCCAACGGCAMGGTACCGCACAATCCAACACAGCCCGCCGCACCCGCCCAAGAGATTGGCTGCGAACAGCACCCGCCCACACCACACCCAGAGATCGCAAGTTAACCACACTACCCGAACAAAGGCGCGCGCGAAGGAACCACCGACAGCTTCGGCCCACAGCCGGATGCCACCGCCCGCCCAAAACGTACTGACAGCGAAGTACACAGCCTCATTCTCTCCATCGAGAAACGCGGGTGAAGAGAAAAACGAATGCACCACGCTTCCAACATGCCCGGACGGACGGAAAGCCTCCACCTGTGCACGGGGGCGCAAAAGGAACACAGCCCCTCTCCCCGCTGGGTCCACATCCGCCGGTTGCCGCGGGCACCACCAACAGCACTCCGCGCAGGCGAAACCCAGGAGACAGAGGACAGTAGCCTTCGAAGCCCATAACCTAAACGCAGTGGAACCACGACGCAACGCGATCCGTCACGGTGTGCAGCATACCGAGACCACAGGATGGGGGACACGACGGGCACAAGCGAGCATTCCAAAAAGTCAGGCGGATGACGGGCCCAGCCTCGCGACGCCGTCGGAGGGTGCATCACGCATCCCACAAGTCTCCGCCCTCGCATACGGTAAGCAGCGCGTGCATGGCCGAGGCCACCTGCGCCACCGCTCAATGGCGCCGCTTGGATGGCGAAGAGCGCAGAGCGTCCTCACCAAGTCGTGACAACCCCTCAACACAAACGGAACGCGCCATTGTGAGTGCGGACATGAAGACGACACCACAACAGAGCCGCAACAGCTCTCCCCGTAACCTAGGGGATGATGGTGCCGAAGCTGAGAGCGGGTGACAGGCACCTCCGCCTCCACACCCTGCAAACGACCGCCAACCGGACCGCCGTCGGCCATCAGGCGCCAATCATCGCAAGACGATGAGCGAGGGTGAACGCAACGATCCACAACCCGGCACCACGACATAGTAAAGCCCCGACAGCCGCGACCGCCGCCAACGACGACCGAGCTGTCGTGAAATAAGCCCTCGGAGAGAGACGACCATGGACCCGAACGGCGCCGCAAAAATGTTCGCTCGACCACCAAAGCACGACTCGCCCGTCCCTCGCAAACTGGAAACCACCCAAGGCGTGTGTAGAGAGTCCCTCGTAACTCGAGTACAAGGTCCCAAAACCCACGCCCGGAACGTCGCCTTCGTCGACTGCAAGGTGGCTGCTAAGCACGCAGGCCCCTATAAGAGTGCAAATGGGACTCCGAACCGCCAACCACCGACTKTTTGGCACATCCGGAGGGTGCTCTCTGAGCCATCCGCCGAGGGACCTGCACATGTCCCTTTCCAGCAAGCTGACTGAACAGCCCCCAATGGCGATGTCCCCCTCGGGACCTCATCCCTTTCCGCTCTCAATAAGACGCCTSTGGACCTTCGATCCTGGGAGACCCCCTTTTCTCGGGGCCGTTCCTACGCCCGAGTGGCAGTGCGCGGTATCTGCTGGCCCCAAAAATTCGACACCTCAAAAGTCCGTCCCATCTCCGTCCCTTCCACACACAAAGGGATAAGGGGAAGGGCTGGGGAAAAAAAATAAATACATTAAATAAAAATAAAAAAAGGGACGAAACAAACAGAGAAAAGGCCAAGCAGCTTCTGTGCCTAGCGACTCAGATCACGCCGCGGTGTGGGAGTGAAAAGTTTACGTGAAGTCTGGCACAATCGTGCGTCCGTTGTGGGGTTATGTGTTGGCGAACATGACTGGACACGCACTCCAGAAAGAGAAGGGCGGAAAGAAAAGTCAAGGATGACTTGACAAAATCGTCATTTCAATTTGTGTCCGCCCCGAAAAAAACTGCATCCGGCAGAAGAAGCGAGGCCGAAACCCCGACGGCCATAAGCATTTCCGTGCATGTCCCAGAGAACACCATGGAGCCAATCAGATACTGCCTCCAGTGAAGCAGGCCGCCATGATCACGCGCACGAGCGAGGAGGGCGGATAGGGCAGGAAGTGGGCCGTTTGCCCCCCCCATAAATATCATTTGGGGGGGGGGGGGGGCACAAAGGGCAGGAAGTGGCCTCTCTGTTCCCAAAGCTGGGGGGCGCGCGGCCCCACCAAGAGCATGACTACGCAGTCGCGTGGGGAGGGCCACGTAGGGCAAGAAGTGGGTATTTCGTTCCCAAGCCATAATGTTACGCACACACATGGGGAGGGCCAGATAGGGTGAGAATTGGCTTTCCAGGTCGGAAACACCAGGGGCATGCTTCGCGCACCCCCCACCACGATTATGCTTGTACGCAGGGGGGGCCAGACGCCCTCCGTCTCTGCCCCTCTACTAAAAATCTTCCATTAAATTGATTGAATACTTGCTTGAGCAAACTTTTATCTACAGAATGAGAAGATTCAGAATTTTGTTTTCAACATGAAAGAAAGG